AGAATTATACTAAGTGACAAGATGTCAGTCTCAACATCAGAAGACTCATTCTGATAAACATCTTATAATATAATTCTAGGAATGCAATTAAGAGTTTACATTAGCATGAGATGTTTGTAAACTTAATGCATCTGCCTTTACATGATAGAAAATATCTAAGATATTACAACAGCAGTTGGCCATAAGGGCACCAACTCCAACATTTGGTTCTTATAAATGTGAAGAGAATCAGAGATGAGTAGTCTGTGTGGTTTACACACCAAGGTAGAGAGAGAAGAGTAAGAGAGTTCTACACAAGAATACCACCAGGAAAATCCAAGGGGTCTTGGTGAGTGTGGGTGAGTGTAGGGAGTAACTGGTTTTAGTTACTCAGAAAAATACATCTGGGCATAAGATGTGGAAAGATCTGTTTATAAGTGTCTGAAATTTAGCCTTGTAACCAAGGGAGAGTTTTTTGTATATTGTCCTGAAATAGTGAAAATATAATTTTTCTCTCATATATATTCTTCTTGTGTTTGTTCTCTAATTTCAAACGGTATATATATATATATATATATATATATATATATATATATATACATACATAATGCTTGCATCCCTAAAACACAAACAAAACCAAATTCCAAAAAGCAAAAGTCCAAAGATAAAGGCACACTAAGCAACGACTAGGTAAAGACACCAACAAGTCCAAACATCCAGCTTGTGTTGGTCACTTCTTCTTGGATCAGCACCAGGGTTATAGTGGAGGGGTCCACATAAACGCCATTATTGTCCTCGGTGTCAAAGCAAGTTGATACTTTGCTAGGATCAGATTCAATTGTAACACCTCCAATATACCACACAACAGGAAAAAACCAAGGCCTCATCATTGTAAAAGGTACCCGGAAGAAGAGAGTGTGAATAGGGGATCTACTAGCCTTAGAAAGCTTAGTGCGTAGCCCAAACTCAAGCTTTAGAACTTGTAACTCTATAAGTCTCCAAATGAAGCCTGTAAATTCTCAAGGGTGATGTAAAGTTGACCTACCAATCTTGATTGCACACTAAACAAGTTTTAGTCACCAATCAATAACCAAGCACCTGCTGATGACGACCAAAACCCAAAAAACTGCAACAAAATTAATAGAACAAACAAAAGATGTTTCCCAGGACATCAAACCCCCTGCTTCAATTCCCTTTGAAGGACCAAAACAACATAAAAGAAGGACCAAGAAACTGGAAATAACCCCTGCCCAGAGTGTAATCCTAATCAATCCTGTTCACCGCATAAATGAGCTAGAACGACATTCATATCTTCTTTCGCATAAGCAAGGTACACCAGATACCTTGCACCTTCCATTGTTGCTGCATCAATATACTCAAAGCTTTTGATTGCTTCTCTAGTAACCCTAACGACTTCCTCTGAGTAGTTGAGGATCTGTCCTTTATTGAGAGCATCCAAAAACTGTTTGCAAGCAATTGATTTCCTAAAGAGGTTCATGTTATCTTTGATAACTTGATGAAAAATATCCAGACATCCCTGGTTTAAAGGAACCTCTGCCAATGGAGTGTGCCTTTGCAAACTTTCCATCTCTTTCTCCATAGTGAGGTCAACAATTACCCTACTTTCAGTATTAATCTGTTCTTCATCACATATAGTAGCAGAAGGAACTCCATTATAGCATCTCCACCCCTCATCCTTGCAAATTTTAACCAGCCCAAGACCTTCTTGAATTGGCAGTGGCTTTGGCAGGTGATTATTTAATTCCTTTGAGTTTCTCAATAATTCAGATAGACCCTTACTGAATATTTTAAGCCCCTCTAAATAGCAACCAGCAGGAATGATAATCTAGTTAGGCAAAGACCCTGTTTTTGACTCTATACGTGCAAAATGTCGAAACCGATTTGAATGCCAAGAGACTTTGACAGAGAAATCCCCATCATATCTAGATATTTCCGAATTTTCATTTGAGAAATCACGCCTGGTAACAATATCGACCAACTAGTGTGCAATAGCCCAAGAGATTGTTAAGAATCGAGTTTTACCTGATTTGGATTCTGAAATTTTGATACACTGCCCTTCAGGTGAAATTTCAAAGTTTTACTCTCAATTGATAGAGTAACCTGACCATCCGCGCTGATATTTGGACCCGAGTTCGAGCGCCTCCAAAATCTTCGTCTCTCAGGTTTCTTCCAGATCCTAGCTGTACGAAATTGAAGTGGCTCGCCATAGTATCGGGGTCGGCGTATATCCCTAACCCGTTGCCGGAGAGAACCGCCGCCATCCTCTCTCTCTCTAAAATCCCTAAACGCCATATATATACATTATATATATATATATATATAATTATCACAACTATATATTTAATATTACTCCCATTAGTGTATTATACTACTCCCTTACAAGTTCTAAGTGTGTGACCCTTTAGGTATCCATAACACTGGCAATGATATTAATAAAATTAATACCATAGATAATAAGCGGTATCTAGCAACACATTATTATCCCTAGATTATGAAAAAGACGTTCATCTCATCAATACCTTATACGTAACAAGACATTCTATAACTATTATCCTTCTATCCTAAATGTCATGATTTTACACAAGACATGGGATGTGTTTCCTTGTATAGTTAAATGAGCTATTACTGAATCTCAAGTAGACTGGTAGGGATCAAATATTTATCAATCTCTAGATAGAGACATATTGGGGCATGGCCATGCACTTTCCCAAGTCCTATTATTCAGTGGGCCCATTGACATTATACTTCTATACATTAGAAGGGACAAATCCTATATCTGTTATTCACATCTCTAATTATGCTTAGCGGCATACGCAACGCATAACTATACGTCTACCAGTATTTCAGATAGCATTAGTTATGAATTAGAGCATACGGCCCCACATATAAGAGAATGTAATAACTTCAAGTCTGAGGATAGTTATAGCACGGTCGAATTGAGAATATTGATAAACACATTACTGTAGATCCATGCAGTATTTTCAAGATGGGTCAATCCAGTCACATATTATCGATATAATATGCACCTACGTACAGATTAAGATATCACAATACCTATCTATAGTCTATGAGACGCAACTATCTTATCTCGTACGCACTAGTCTTACTACGTTATGACGTCCGTATTATCATAAAGTTCGACTAGGGATATTTTAGACATATCCTTCGTCAAGAAGTAACAGTCTCATAATCAGAACATCGTAGTCCTCATCTATGTTACTGAAGCGCTATCGTCTATGGACTGAAGCTATGTTATGTTACACGAGATATAAAACATACTTCAGAGCCTTTCATTCATGAAAAAGTGTACAGTTACATAGGTATTTGATTGCGGCTAGGGCACCTAAATACAACAATCTCCCACTTGCCCTAACGCCAATCAAGCATTTCTCGAATGCCCATGGACCACGTATGACTCTCGTGTTTAGGCTTTCCCAAAGCCTTCGTCAACGGATCCGCGATATTGTTGTCTATACCTATCTTGCAAATCTCAACGTCCCCACGTGCAACGATTTCTCGTATGATGTGATAACGTCTAACGATGTGTTTGGTCTTCTGGTGAGACCGAGGTTCTTTCGCTTGTGCAATTTCCTCATTGTTGTCGCAAAACAACGGTATAAGGTTCTTGATGCTAGGAACCACTCCAAGCTCAGTAATAAAATTCTTGAGCCACCCACCTTCCTTGGCTGCCTCGACTGAGCCACCCATCTTGCCCTACAGTCAAGTTATTTAGGTATAAATTCATTTAAATTGCAATCGTTATTACAACTCTTGGTTCGGTGGATTCTTTTAAATAAAATTCTTAATTAATTGGGCCAGATCCATATTTCATTTAACTATAGTTGTGCTTTGCATCTTGCCCTACAGTCAAATTATTTCTAGAAGGAATAAATTCCAATTATAACAAGTTACAACTCTGGTTGGATGATCTGATTTTATTTATTGATCCTACCGCAGTGCCCTAAGTCTCTAATCCTTATGACCAAGACTTAGTTAAGTCTAACCCAGGGCGAGTCAGTACCCTAGTTATGGGTTTCGCACCGAACCAACGTAAACCGCATGTCTCACTTGGATGAGTCCGTTACCGATCTAAATTGGGTTTGACGAGTGACGGGGCGTCGCAGTGGCATAGACTTAAAATTATGAGGAATTTATTACGTAGTCTTGCCTATGGCATACACCGCACGCATGCACTAGCGAAAATCACATACATGCATATATTCAGCCATACATCACATGCATAATAAGTAAACGTGAAATGATTGTGGCTCCTAACGAAAAACAAACGACAGTGCCTTGATCAAGAGATCTCTATCTCCGGCCCATCACGTCTTCATTAGGATTCTCCATCACGAATGGACTTCATTTTCATGTCTTCTTATAATTTTCGAGAGAAAAGAATATTCAGGTAAAGAAGAGAATTACATCCAGAGTATAGAGATGATGCACGACACGCAGGCCGTATTTAAAATTATAACAAATACATACATGCATCACATGCATCACATCATACATATTAAAGCATACACCGAGCGAACCGTGCTCGCCCCAGACCTAGTTTTTTCTATTCTACGGAATAAACTATCAACAACAAATTAATTAAACTAGCAAGTAATTTAATTAAAAATTATAAAATACTTTAAAAATTTATTTTGGAAATAATGATTTATAAATTTTGGAAATTTTATTTCCATATTTATAAATGTTGAAAATAATTACTGGAAGTTGAAATTCAATTTTCATGATTTTTGCAAAAATTTTCAAAATTAAATTGCCTTTTCGAAAATAATTTTGCAAAAGGGCATTTTGGTCATTTGGAATATTCTAGATTTTTTTATGCTGGCAGAATATCCATAGTATATAAAATGATTTTATAAAATATTATTAGATTTATTTGGACATCTAATTTAATTTTATGAGTTTTAGAAAATATTTACTGCCGTAGTATTTTTCTGAAACTGTCTTCGGTGAGCGCGGTTCACCCGGTGTATGTATATCTCTATTTCTTGTGTGGATGTATGATATCCATGGTGGATGATTGTGGCTATAGTTTATTTGATTATAATACGGCCTGCGTGTTGTGCCTTATCTCTTAAACTCTTGTTGTAAATCTATTTCTCTCTCTTACCTCAACCGAGGATTCTTTTCTCACGTGGTGGTTAGAAGATGAAAAGATTTGATGACCGTTTGGAGAAATCTAAAAGAATGGAGATAGCCTGAAGTTCAAATGCCCGACAACCAGTGGGAGCTATCGTTTTATTTTTCTTTTAGGGGCCACAATCATTACACGTTTATTTACTGCGTTTTGTGAATGCATGTTGAATGCATGTTGAACGCTAGTAATGGACATGTACGCGGCCATGTCGATAGGTGAGATTGAAATTATAAATCCCTCACGAATATTAAGGCTGTTGCCTTCTGACACCCGGCACCTATCCGGCTAATGTGCACTGTCATGTACTCAGCCTCAGCAGAGCATAGTACGGTGTATGTTAAGCTGGTTACGGGAACTGCCATAGCGTGGTCGCTGTCGCACGTTGGGTTAGACTTAACTGAGTCTCGGTCAAATGGATGGACGACTCAAAGGCAGTAAGTTGAGGTCATCAATGACAAGTCAGATGATTTTACTCACTCATCTAGCTAGGAGTTGGATCTTGGAACTCTGTTCCTAACTAAAGTAGTCTGCTTGTAAGACGTGCCTCAGCCAAGTACAAGTATGGTGAAAAGGTGTCCTGGTCCGGTTGTAGTAATATTGTACTCCCAACACCAGACCAAAACCTGAGAGCCCGGCTCATCAGTTGGAACTATGTTCCTACCTAAATAGTTGTCTTGTGGAGTAACGCCCAAGCAGAACGCAAGATAATGAAATATGGATATTGGCACACTAGAGGTTTCACCGAAAATCTCCGAATCAATATCGAGGGTTATTGATTTGTTAAAAATAGTGAGAGATAATTAATTAAAGGCCTAATTAATTATTAAACATAATCGATAACCTAGTTTGCAAAATTTTCTGTAGATTGCAAACAACAACAACCCTTTCAACCTGTGTTACATCCTAGAATACAACAAGTTATCCGGGACCAACTTTCTTGACTAGGAGATGAACCTTTGAATCGTTCTTAACTTTGAGAGGAAACTCTACATCCTCGAAATGGATCATCACAAGACCTGTGATGCTAATGCTCGTGCGTCCGAACTCACTTATTTCAAGAAGTATGAGGATGACGTGCGAGATGTAAAGTGCATCATTATGGCCAATATGATCGCGGAGCCTTAAAGGCTCCATGCGGACATGGAAGTGCGTCCTATGATACAATGCTTAAGAGACCTTTACCAGGGTCAGCCCCAAAACTCAGGTATTTACGTTATCGAAGTCAATATGTCTGATATCACCTCTTGGGTGATGGATACTGGATGTGGTTCTCACATCTGTACTTCTATGCAGAACTTGCATGAATGTAGACAATTGCCAGAGGGAGAGATACAACTAAAAGTCGGCAATGGCGCACTCGTCTATGCATTGGCCATCGGAACCTATAGTTTATCTATACCTAGTTGGTCTTATATTGCATTTGAATAATTGTCTATTTGTACCTAGTATGAGCAGAAACATCATTTCTGTATCTGCCTTGACAAAGCAGGATTTTCGTTCATTGTAAAAGACAAAACTCATTTTGTCTTTAGAAATGTTATATTTTATCCAAGTGCAAAAATGACCAACGGTCTCTATGTCCTTGACATGGATACCGCAATATATAACGTAGATGTTAAGAGAAACAAACCTAACAGTTTGAATCTTCACTAGTACAAAAATGACCAAATAAATCGCCTCATTTGCATCGTTAGGCTAAACAAACGATGTAAATGCAAAAAAAAATTCGCGTATCGCTTAGCTTTTGGATCGGTTATCCGTAATAACCGATGCAAAAAGTATTTGAATCGGTTATCACGGATAACCGATTTAAAAGCTGACCATCTTTTGGATCGGTTATTCCTTATAACCAATTTAAATACCTTTTGAATCGGTTATTAGTAATAACCGATCCAAAAGAGTGTGATAAAATTAGCCAACCCTACCTTATCCTTACGCGTTTTTGAAAAAAAAAACCTCCAATTCCGTTCTTCGTCTTCGTCGTGCTCTTCGTCTTCGTCGTGCTCTCCGTCGTCTTCAACTCCACACCACGTTGTCGCCTTTCCCATGTCGCCCCCAAATCTGGTCTAATTGCACCGCCCTCGTCCACCTCACCTCGACGTTTGCCGTTGTTAGTGTTGTTGTCTCCAAGGGAACGGCGACAACGTCGACGACCACCTCACCCTGCCTCCGTCGCCAAGCCGTATTTGCTGCCCCGCCGTCGCCAAGCCGTCGTCCCTTCCTTAAGGTATTTTTTTAGCTTTAAAAATTTAATTATACTATTATTTGTTTATATATTTTTGCATTAAGTTAATATTTAATTTACTATATATGTTTTGTGTACATGTTTAAGTTGAAATGTTTCATTGTGATATACATTGTTTTTGAAAAATAGATTGTTTAATTATTTTGTGTTTGATTCTACATGTTCTAAGACATTATAATATAGAAATAACATATATTGACCGACCTAGATACCCGTTTAAAATTCACTCATTAGGAGTAAATTTTAAATAGCTCCCAGTTTGGAGCTGTTCTTGAAATGCTTCTCTCACTTAGGTAGTACATGTATTTCTTTCTCTTTGTTCCATCATTTTTTGGTTTGACGTTTCCTAAATGTGTTCTTCGAGTGCATATGTAAATACGTTACATCGTGCACTTGGAGAACCAATGGGAAATGCTGCCAAAATTTTGATAGGACAAAGAAAATGAAATACATTTACTAGTGAGGATGGCATTTCAAGAATGGGTTAGGATGGTGTAAAGAAGGACCATTTCTATAATGAAGAAGTGCTGTCGGATTTTTGTTGCATCTTAAGAAATGAAATATTGTGTTGCCTATATTTCTTATATGTTTGTGTGTATATAAAATGTGTATTAATAATTTTGTTGTGCACTGTTTTGCATGTATCAATCATTTGCCCTTCTGTCTTGCTTAGCAATTCATATGATGGATAGAAGTTGGATTCATATGTCGCATACATCACCTGAGTTTAGTTCTGGTTTGGAAGAGTTTATTCGTTTTGCAGAGAAACATTCAAAAGAAGGAAAAAGGTTATATTGTCCTTGTAACTCATGTCACAACCATTTTATGGTTGATAGCGTTAAAGAAATACGAATACATGTGTATCGCAAGGGTTTTGACCCAACATATCTCCAATGGAAATGGCATGGGGAATTAGAAAATAATTGCAGCTCTAGCTATACTCATAATTACCAAGTCGAAGATGATATTCACGACATCCACAATCTTGAGGTTGAAATAGAAGATGAGTTAGAGGCCACTCAAGATGTTCCTCCTGATAAAGTCGTCATTGATGAGGAGCGTGATATGTATGAGAGCTTAGTAGGAAGTTCAAAAACGTCCATTGTATCCTGGTTGTACCAAGTTTACACGTTTGAAGGGGGTTTTGGAATTGTTCGATTTAAAAGTAGCAAATGGGTGGAGTGACAAAAGTTTCACATCTTTATTAAGTTTGTTGGGTGAACTTCTTCCAGATGGACACGAACTGCCATCGTCTACTTATGAGGCGAAGAAAATGATGTCTCCAATGGGTGAGGGCTACAAGAAGATACATGCTTGTGTTAATGATTGCATTTTATATCGAAATGAGTTCGAGGATCTCAACGAATGTCCCAAGTGTTTTGCTCCAAGATACAAGGAGTCAAGCAAAATGACTCTTAACAAAGACAATATGAAAAAATCCAAAAAGACTCCGGTTAAGGTTTTGTGGTACCTTCCAATAAAACCAAGATTCAAGCGTTTGTTTGCTTCAATAAAAGACGCTAAGAATCTAGTGTGGCACAGAGAGCAGCGAAAAGAT